TATTTCGACTGTATAAATACAACTGACAGTTGTGAACTAGTGATTTATATTTCGACTGTATAAATACAACTGACAATAGTGAACTAGTGAGTTTTATTTTGACTGTATAAATACAACTGACAGTAGTGAACTAGTGATTTTTATTTCGACTGTATAAATACAACTGACAGTAGTGAAGTAGTGATTTATATTTCGACTGTATAAATACAACTGACAGTAGCGAAGTAGTGATTTATATTTCGACTGTATAAACACAACCAAATCACTAGTTCACTACTGTCAATTTCGACTGTATAAATACAACTGACAATAGTGAACTAGTGAGTTTTATTTTGACTGTATAAATACAACTGACATTAATTACTTTCTAGAAACTACTTTGAAACGAAGCTCTCTTAAGCAAGATAGTTCAATAGATATCACTTAATTGGAAGAGGCTTCAAAGCTTTATGTTTTAAAGACATAACAGATATTTTGATACGAAATGAACCAACATCAAACAATATTTAAAGAAGATAAGACACAAAATACACACGCAGCTTCTTGAAACTAGAACAGACAACAAATAGAATGAACAACACAAACTTCTAAAGAATGGTTTGGTTTGAAGTTCGCGCATCGCTAGCAGTGAAATACTAGAGGGATGGCAGCTAGTCATTACCACCCACCGCCAACTCTTGAATTACTCTTTTACCAACGGACAGTCGGATTGACCGTGAAATCATAACACCCCAACGGCTGAAAGGGCGAGCATGTTTGGTGAGACGCGATTCCAACACGCGTCCCGCAGATGGCGCGTCGAGCGCCATAACCACACGGCCATTCCGGGCCAAACCTTCTAAAGAGCCGTCAAGAATCTCTAACAAGGAGTGATAATTTATATGATCAAATGTTACACACGCTTCTATGTAGTGGTATTATATTCTTCAATCCCTGAGTGTTAAGCAATTACTTATCTGGGCTAAAATGGGAGGGTAAAGGTACCCAGTCGAGGTCCGTTTGTGGCGACCCTCCCATCTTATAAGGTAATTTAGGTATTTGACATTACTCTCGTTCCCAAACTAGAATTTATTCGAATATATTTTGTATTTATTACATTAATAAGATACAATAAACAGGTTTTTTTACGTGTTTGTTCTTACTTTAAGTGATGCAGTCTATAAAATATGTTATATAACATCGTTTTGAAACTTCTGTGAAGAACACCTAAAGAAGACACCTTAGGTCTTATTAATCAAAGAATAAGAAAGTATGAGTTGAATATTCTAATATCTGGTAAGGACATCATGTATCCTCTTCGTCATAAAACGTTCTTTTATTCTTTGATTAATAAGACAGTATAAGTTGAATATTCTAATATCTGGTAAGGACGTCATGACATTAATATCATAGGTTGAGTTGAATATCTTATATGTTGTTAAGTAACGAAAGTAAGAAATATCTAGAAAAAAAACCTTGGAGAAAAATGTAGATTAACAAATCTTAAAATGAACAGAGTGATTAGTCCGAAAGTTATACGTGGAAAAGAAACATTGTTTAAGGTGTTTTTGGTATTACATTGTTTAAGTTGTTTGTTTCGGTATGGAATTCAAGGCACCCACACTACCGTGATGGGGTGACGACTCCACGTGATTAATGTTGAGGGAGGGAAGCCTGGCCTATTACACAGTGCTATTATTTCTCTATGGTGCTCCTTTACGTTTGTTATACTGCACTTAACCCACAGTAGATAATTCAACACCTTAGAACGTCACATATCGTAGGTAGAAACGCTGGTCTCTGGTATGGATTTCCACATCACCAGATGCACCAATTAAAAACAGAAAAATAAATCACTAAATCAGAAGATTTTGTCAAAAAAAAAGCACCTTCACATTTCAAACAATTTAATTACGGTTGATTAAAATTAATTTATTTGATGTTTAAAAATTTGCTGACTTATCACAGTTATACTAGACGATCACTAGATGTCTACACAATACGGAAAAACAATCTCAGAATTGATATCAACAACAACTCTGAAGCATCGACACCAATAATAAGTGACAAATAATTTTATTACTTTTTAAAGGAAACTCGTTTTTCGGAACCCCCGCCACACATCGAGCCCTTTAAAAACGTCTCAATGGCATCCCCAAGTAATATAGCATTAAGAACATTCCCATCACCCCACAGCACGGTGGCATGTTCATCTTCTGGTTTACCTTCTGGTTCTTTGTGTATTTGGATAACGACTTCCTCTTTGCCTGACGACTGTTCGTGTTTCGTTTCTTCAATGGTTTTGTCTAAGATTACATTTTCCACGGTTTCCTCTGTCGCAGTGTCGTCACTGGGACTTCGTTTGTGCGCCATCTTTCGTGATTTCAACCGTCGTTTCTGGAAAGTCGTAGGAGTGAGTTGGAGAAAAGCAGGTTTTTCACCACTTGAAGAATCAACTGACCACGTAGGTTGTAAGGCGATTCCCGAAACGTCATCAGATTTGGGTTTAATGATGGACAATAAGTCTTCTTTTTTGCACACGATCCCTTCTTTTTCGACGAATTTCTTATAAGGAGAAGAGTTTTCTGATGTGCTAGTGGGCGGCTGACGTTCTTCATATTCTTCCTTTTCTGAACTATTTGGTCCTTCCTCACTACTGGCCCTTTTTTGAAAAAGGCTTCGCTTGCTTTTCAACATTTTCGCTTCCGTTGACTTATTTTCGGTTTCATTTCCGATGGAGAACTTCTTAAGGCCTTTTAAAAGTTCTCCTGAAGTTAGAGTTCTACTAAAAAATTTAGAAGTTTTCCAACCAGCTTTTGGAAGCTTTGACTTTGTCTGAGTGAGATCTTCGGAATTCGTTTTTTTAGATGTGGAAAGAGACGAAGTACCGATATCCAGACCCAGCTGGAACATATGGGAAGTTTCTCTTCTTTCAAGATGACGGTAAACTTTTCTAGGTGATCCTTCGCTCTTATGGCTTTTATCTTTGTCTTCTTTTTCTTTCCGACTGCTTAATTCTCTGTTCGTTGTTTTTGAATGTTTATTCAACGACAAAACAGGAATTTTTACATTGACCTCTAAGGGTGTCTCAGTAGGACAACTGTGGACATCAGACATGTTGTGGTTATTAACGTTAGTCAGATAGTAACCAAAAACACTGATACCTGTTTTTAGTTTCTGAAACCCCCACAGAACGAATGTTAGCGAATCAACTTCGTTACTTAGAGATAGTGGGTTAACCCAAATCTTGAAGATTCTTTACAGTGACTATAGAAATATATTGTCTTTCTTCCAAGACTCTTCTTAGAAAAAATAAGCCCTGTAACTCTGTGATTCACCGTATGTTTTATTTTTTATTTTGATTGCCCATATGTTAGGCTTAGTTTTAAAATTAGAGGATAGTAGAGCTTTCGGTTTCGACGTCAGAATTGTTCGACAATTCCCTCTGTAAATACAAAGAAATGAAAATATATAATAAGTGTGTTATATTATTAGTGAATTACTCACTAGTAAAAGTTAAGAACACTCGAATGAAAGAAAATTATCAAACTATGGTTTAATTCCACCATAAATATTGATCAAAATGAAAATAACTTCAACTTAGGAAATATAATAGATTTTTAAATACATTTATACATCAGACATGTGATGTACGAAAAACAGTTTGTAGCCGTTATTATATAACAGTTGTTTATCAAATTATGATTCCTCATTCAGAGTTTACTGGGCAACCTGTCTACTTAACTCCTAGAATCTGTTAGTTGATATTGTTAAAATTGTTCATGGTTAACGTTAGAGTAAGATTGTTGAATGGGTGACGTTAGAGTGAAGTTGTTGAATGGTTAACGTTAGAGTGAAATTGTTGAATGATTAACGTCAGAGTGAAGTTGCTGAATGGTTAACGTTAAAATAACATCGTTGAATGGGTGATGTCAGAGTGAAGTTGCTGAATGGTTAACGTTAAAATAACATCGTTGAATGGGTGATGTCAGAGTGAAGTTGCTGAATGGTTAACGTTAGAGTGAAATTGTTGAATGATTAACGTCAGAGTGAAGTTGCTGAATGGTTAAAGTTAGAGTGAAATTGTTGAATGATTAACGTCAGAGTGAAGTTGTTGAATGGTTAACGTTAAAATAACATCGTTGAATGGGTGATGTCAGAGTGAAGTTGCTGAATGGTTAACGTTAGAAGAACATCGTTGAATGAGTGAAATTGTTGAATGATTAACGTCAGAATGAAGTTGTTGAATGGATGACGTAAGAGTGAAATTGTTGAATGATTAACGTCAGAGTGAAATTGTTGAATGGGTGACGTCATAGTGAAGTTGTTGAATGGTTAACTTTAAAATAACATCGTTGAATGGGTGATGTCAGAGTGAAGTTGCTGAATGGCTAACGTTAGAAAAACATCGTTGAATGAGTGAAAATTTTCAATGGTTAACGTCAAAATGAAGTTGTTGAATGGATGACGTCAGAATGAAGTTGTTGAATGGATGAGGTAAGAGTGAAATTGTTGAATGATTAACGTCAGAATGAAGTTGTTGAATGGATGAGGTAAGAGTGAAATTGTTGAATGATTAACGTCAGAGTGAAATTGTTGAATGGGTGACGTCAGAGTGAAGTTGTTGAATGGTTAACGTCAGAGTGAAATTGTTGAGTGGTTAATGTCAGAGTGAAATTGTTGAATGGTTAATGTCAGAGTGAAATTGTTGAATGGGTGACATCAGAGTAAAGTTGTTGAATGGTTAACGTCAGAGTGAAATTGTTGAATGGGTGACATCAGAGTAAAGTTGTTGAATGGTTAACGTCAGAGTGTAAATTGTTGAATGG